CCCCCCCTCTCTCTCCCTCTCTCTCACATACACACACATAAATAATCATCTCGACTGCTTTTTTTTACTCGAACGATTCCTGGTATTCACACAGAGAAGTGTACCCCTCCCCCTCTCTATTCTTGCAAGGTGAAAAAGTTAAAACGAGCCGGGCTGCTGCATTGCCCGGAGAATGACAACATTACTACCTTACCTATTGCTCGTAACAGATGTGAGTACTATACTATGGAATTAAAAGTTAAATATAACTACCAATCGTACGAACGGTATTTAGAATTACAACTTATAAGCACTAAATAATACAACACACGCCGCATACAAAAAACTCGTTTAAAAACAATAATTACTGGCAAGCTGTAATTATAATTCATATTGTTAATGTTGCCTAATATTTGCTTTTTTTCGTCATGCATAATTAATGGATTTGCCATTTTCTACATGGTTCTCACTGTAGCCCAGGCAGACGCTTCCTCGACCCCCCCGCATAATATTATGGGTTTTGGGTGCAAAAGCAAGACACTTTAAAACATAGGCGTAGATTTAAGGGGACGAGATCATGTCCCCCCAATGTTGAGAAGGTAGGAGGGGCAATCTCCTTCAGTAATATCATATATAATATAATGCTTGGTTTACAAAAAAATACACACCGTATAAATCTCATCACATAATTTTAAGTATTTTAAAATGTATTTTTCTGATCGTTTTCACATAGGGAACCTTTACCCTCGGTTAATTAAATTCTTAAAAGCATAGTTGGTGGCTTACATACAGTAGTTGGGAAACGTGCTCCGTGCTGGCTGTCGCAGATCTGCGAGCGATGAGATAACTAAGCGGGCGGAAAAGCGCTGCACGGCTTTGTATGTAAATTTAACTCATAGAAGACCTCGTAGCAAAATCAACAGTTAATCAATATAAGATTAACGGGAATTTAATCGTCCCATGTCGATCAGATTTCATAAAGATAATCTTGTTATTTGATTGTGCAAACGGCAACTAGCTTGGTTAGTTAATATCATAACACAAATTGCAACGCTGATAATAGCCATTTACACAAATGCGTTCGTCACAATTCTCATCCCTCTGAGTTTGAAAAATAATGAGTAAGATGCCCATCAAAAATGGGAAACCAGACATTATTTGGAAAACACCATAAAGTAAGTTATTCAATTACCAGAAACTCAGAATCAGTGCTGGCAGAAAGTCCCTTTTATTACAAAGATGAGATTTAATAAATCCCCTATATTGTGGATATTTTATGTGTGTGGTGTTTGTGCTAGTGATTCCGGAAGGTTGTGAGTAATACAGGGGTGCAGGAGACTGACAGGGGCATCATAGTGGACTCTGAGCTTTAGTCGTTTTTCCAAAATGCAAAGGCTGACATTGGTGGTGGAATCTCGCAATTTGTGCATAATTTTAATTATTTAGGTTGGGAAGTATGCTCTGATAGGCTTCCGCGCATTGCCGCGTCCACCATACGACGAAACATGCATATCATTGAAAATGGAAAGATGAATATCACTTTGTATATTGTAATTGTAACAGCAATAGTTCACGAATAATACTACAGAATCGCCCTATAATGCTACGTGACGACACACCTCCGACCCTGGTACACTCCCCCCCACACACACACACACACACACAATGTTAACATGAAACCTACGCCCCTGTTCTAAACACGTTTATGCGCCATAGTTCACGGTTTAATATGGAACGAATAATGCCCCCTACTGGAATACTGAACTCAGCAAATGAAGTCGGACTGTTCCTTGTCCCTGACAGTTGTGCCAACCTTCTCTCGTAAACCGCCACGATGCATACCATGCATAAAAATACCATGCATTAAACAGGCTACATGCATGACGAAAATCAATTACGACCTTTTTTTTTTTAAATGATTACAATGACTTAAGTCTTGTTTTCTAACCGCAAAATGGAAAAAAATGTATGGTTATTTTGGACGACTGTTTAAATTAGCTCACAGATTTTAAATGGGTTTGTTAATAACACATCGCTTGTAAGTTGTCTTAAATAATTAAACGAGCCGTTCCCCAGAAGTCATGTTGTAATTATGATATTGAGTAATAGTTTACTAATAGCATGAGACATATTGCCAGTAATTTTCAAATGGGATTATTCTCTTGTGAACTCTCCGAACCACGTGTTTTCATCTTAATATACAAAACTGGGAAAACACTTTGTTGTGCAATCTATATGAGCATTTTATCCAGCCCTTATTTCCACAGAACTTCAATAATTTTGCCTGAAAAATAGCGACAATATATTATCAGTTACTTTTCCTTGGCTAGTTTTGTACAGAGTATGTTGTCATTAACATCACGTTGAGATTTTATGTATGCATTTTGTAGCCGCACATGCAATAATACAAATTATTGGACATCGAATGTCTAATGGAAACTCGACATTATTTAAAATATCATGCGTGGGTTTTGTAGCAGATGCTATAGGGGAAATGGTGCGACGCATGGCTTTTAGTGATGTAATGCTATTTTTCCAGTTCATTTGCACGTCGTTTCCTCTAGGATGTAAAAGGGTTACTCCAGTGACTGGTGACAAGCAAAGGCTTAGCGCAGAGCTCCCTCCATGTTTCTTTACAATAAAGTTTCCTTATTCAAAGTCCTCCAGCGTAATGGCGGCTCCCATGGCATGGAGGAGACTCGGGTATCCGGCTTTGGCGCCGGCCTTGTGTTGCGTTTTTAACCGCATTTCAGACAAATTCTTTCGGATGCGGGATAGAAGAAGGAGGTAAGAGGCAGAGGAGCTCGTTTTTCTGCTTATTTTATCTCTAAGGTGTTCTTTAGCTGTACATGTCACATGCGGTGTCATTGCATTGCACCCCGGGCGGCAGTTTAAATCTCCCAGATCGCGCTGTGTCCGGATATTATGAGGCTTGACACTGACATTGCTGTTAGCGGCGAGACTGAGTATGTCTGTCTGTAGCTATTGTTTGAAAAAAAGGCGATCATGTGCCTCAAAGCGGAAATCGGCGTAATGGATAGTCGTCTGATTTTTGCAGTAACCAGGTATGTGGAAGTTCTGAGCAGGGCTTTGACACTTTCTCTGTTGCGTACTAAAGCACACGACGTGTCCCCTTTATTATCAAGCGTCCTGAGTCATTTTGGGTTTATGTATGCAGGACAGGTACCGCCCAATAGTACGAAGTAAAGCTTCCCTTTCTGGTAAATTACGGGGTAAGCGGGCGGGTCAATAATGGATAAACATGCACACTTGGAAATTACTGAAGAGGATAGGGACTGCGACCATTGTAATGCGCTGTGGTGCACAGTAACCTCCCCCCGCATGGAGCCTGTTTGCTTTATTTTAAAATGTCGTTCCATCCTTCCATCTTCATTCTAATGTTCCTGGAGAGGATCACAGTGGCACCTTACCAAGCAGTTTAATCCGGAGTACTCTCTAAGGCCAGAGACTATAGCTCTTTCTGGAGGAGATCCTCAGGTGCTCCTAAGCCAGCTGAAAGGTATTAATTCGTATTATTTCGCAAGCATGTCTTGGTTCTGTTCCAGGGACTGTACCCGCTGGGACATGACTGGAATGGCTTGTTTGCAAGATGCCCTAACCAGTTTGGCAAATTCTCTTGAATTTGTAGAAGCAGTGGCTTCACTTTGAGCTTCCTCCGGATCCTCAGACCCTTCACCCTGCACTCAGCGACCCTCATTTTGAGCTCCTGTTCTCTCAGTCAGCACCCATAGATCATGACCACAGCTCTGCACGGAGACACAGTCAATTGCATGCTTTGTCTTTGATCGTGTTTGGGGGAGGGGTTTGGATTTCTCGTGGATTGTGTTTGGAGGATTCGGTTTAGCTAAGTTTCCCCTAAGCGAAAGGCCTATTTCCACTTTATGCTCCTAAATCTCCTCCTTTAGCACACTAACTGGTGGTGGTCGTAGCAGACGGGGTGAATGTCTGCATGATGGCTGCCTGTCTTGGTGGATGGCAGAGGTGGTCGCAGCAGACGGGGTGAATGTCTGCATGATGGCTGCCTGTCTTGGTGGATGGCAGAGAAAGCTCTGTGTTTTTTTGTAGGGGGCAGGGGTGGGGTTAGGTGGGGTGTTATTTGAGCCCTTCCTCAGAAGTTTTTGTGACTCTGGCTGATAGATGGAGGCCAGAGGAGTAACCATGGTAGGAGGTCATGGCACAATGAGGGGGGCTGCCCGCTGTGGGTATGCCCAGTGCATTGGAAAACAGGTCATCCAGGGGGAATGGGTGGTCAAGGAAGTTCCCTTTATTTCCAGAAAATGAGCGTTGTCATATCGATGGTCACAGTGAATGGAAGGTGAGGGCTGGGTTTATTGGAGCTGCATGTCACTGGGAGTGAGGCGGTGCAGAGTGGGGCTTTGCCTAAACGTGGTGAGTCTGTACTGCTGAAACTGAAATGTGCCCCGAAAGCTTACAAAACCATCGTCTCACTGTAAAGGCCCTCTGGAGGGCCTGCTGGGTGGATCCAGCCTTTCAACTCCTTGGAAAGCATGAGACGACTCTGCTCCACTTCACAGCTAGCGATGACTCTCATGTTTGTGCAATAACATCGTTATTGGTGTTATTGCTTTTCGTTTCAGTGCTGCTGAACTCTGGCCTGCTCGGAGGCGGTTAGTTTTGGATGCACTTATGGGTTCTCATGTCTGGAATGTGAAGGGGGGTGGGGGGTGGAATTGCTGGAATTGAGTGGTTTTGGTTTGCCGTGAAGTTCCAGCGTGGTTACGATGTCACCTCACCTTGTCAAGCATGCTGCCCCTGGTAGCCTCTCCAGAATTTTCTCCCAGGAACAATGCCTCGCACTCCTCTTTGCCCTGAATCAGTATTTGCGATAACTCCAGCACTGGCATTTGTTATGCAAAACAGGAAATATCCCCCCACAAGGCACCCCCCACAGGCCCGTGAATATTGGTGCGTTCGTTTTTCTCTCGGAACTCGGAAATTCCGAGGTGAGTGACATCACGTCCGACAATCTCCCGTTCGAGCTACCACATCTCGGAACAAACATGGCTGCCTCCATGAACACGCTGCTGTGTGCTGTTGCTTTATATTTTAGCAGATTTGGAGTGAGATTATTTTTTCAGAGAGACAAACAAACAAGAAACACAAACTAATCAAACCACATTAAAAGCTTTATAAAATATTTTAGCACATTCATAGTGATGTTCTTTTTTCGAGAGGCAAACAAACTACAAACAAACCAAAGACACCAACAAGTCTGGTAAAAATCTGATATTTTTAAAGATTTATAAAATAGAATTACTGTTGAGTGTGTAAGCCGCCATGTTGAAATTACGTCACAGGGGAAACTCGGACAAGAAAATTCTGTCCGACATCAATGTCATAAAAGAGGCGTGTTTCCGACAGGAAGTGACGGTTTTTAGTGACGTTTTCATCCGAGTTCCGACTCAGAGAGAGATAATCGAACGCTGGATATGTGTAAAGGATGTCTATTTTAAATAAAAACGAAAACCAATGTCGAGCGTAGCTGGACTCCCTGCTGTGGTGGTGAGATCTTTGTTCACAGCACCTGGAGCTTTTTTGGAGTGGATCTCCGCCCCTTTTTACAAACAGCGGTACGGTGGGAACGACACCGAGACGCCTGTCATGCCAGGTCTGCAGACTCGCGGCCAGGTGTTTTTTAAAAGGGCAGGTGACATCACACTTTGCATTTGTGTCTATCGAAAGACCTTAATCTGGATGAAGTCATCCCTCTGTGTCAAGCTGGAGCCTGGAAACATCAGAGCACCTTTATTTTGGACTCCTACACCTTCACGCTTTCTTTTGGGTCTTGTTTCTTTGGAGTGTCATCAGCTACCACACACTTCCTGTGTCTGCTGAAAATGGGTTTGAGTCTTGCCAGGGCCCAGCTGAACGTGGGTTTGAGTCCTGCCAGGGCTTAGCTGAATGGCCCAGGCTGCAGGTTCTAAGCCAACTGATTGCATGTTGACTTATTTAGCAGAAGCTTTTATTTAAAACAACACACAAATTATGAAGTAGGGTCAGACAGTCCCTGGAGCAATTGGGGTTAAGGCAGCACAATGAAATCGTCACAATGAAATCATGGGATTTGAATCAGTAACCTTCTAATCATGGGCACAACAACCTAACTCGCTGAGCCATACAACTTTGCATGGGACCACCCCCCCCCCCAGTTACTTCCCTCCTCTGTTTCTCATGTTTTCCCACTGGAACGACCAGTTGTGGTTCAGACAAAGGCATTTTAACAACTCTTGTCCAGTCATGCACGGTAGATTCCCTGGTCGGACAATAGAGAGCAGCATGTTTTGTTGTCGGTGTGACACACCCTCCTTCCCGCTCACAAATGCCCAAGGGACAGCAGTGTTAATAGTGTCGTTATTTATGTCTTTGCTTGACTGGCAGCTTTGTCACAAACTACTCAAACTTCCACCTTCTGCCTGGCTTTGTTAACTGGAAGTTACGGCATGAGACGCATGACTGGCAAACGGGATCCTCAAAGCCCGGATAGGAGCTGCCTTTCTAGCCTTCTAGCCTTCCGCTCAGATGCTTTTGTTAAATATTTGACGATGACTGCCCCCACCCCCCCATCTTTCTCCATTGTATCCGGTTGTTCCAGTTCATTCAAACCCATTTTCTTCTAGCTCGAAACCCTTCCCCTCGTCTATATACTTCTTTCACCTGGGTGTACCGTGTATCATATCTTACAGTCTTTCACCCCAAGTGGGAAGCCATCGACCTTAGAGTGTGGACATCTCTAGCGGTCTTACCAACGGGTGCTGAAGCTGTGCCGGCCAGAGCTTTGTGACGGTGATAGCTAGGGTGGGGCCAATGACAGGCCCATAGGAAAACCAGCATGTAGTGTGACACCAACAGTCAGGATACAGAAGTGTGGCAGGCGCTTAATGAGACGTGTGTAATTTCATTTTCCCGTTAGCCTAATTATCGCATTAGTGATGCCTGACAGTGCTATACATGGTTTTCATAGTTTCATAATGCCTCACTGGTCAGCTGCCTGTGCCAGCTCACTGTTCACCATGTAATAGGCTCAGCATGAAACATTAATAGATGACAGTAGCTGTTTTCATCATGTACCAGGTGGTGTTTGGGTCCCTGTCTACTCCAGCCTGTCTCGGGCGGTATTTGCATCCCTGTCCACGGTGTTTAGATCACTGTCCTCCATTGTGTGCTCCATCCTAGGTCCTCGTTGCTCCTTCTTGCTCCCCTGCTGGCTGAAGCAGAGCCCGTGACCCCCCCGGCCACATCGCACCGCCCCACCACGGAGGGGCTGCCGCTGCGGTTCCGCTGGATGGCTGAGCACGCACCAGCCTTCCGTGTCCCTGGAGCCCATGTCCGTGTGCTGCGTTCCCCTACTGAGTTCTACCAGGTCATGAAGGTCAGTGTGCCTACCTGCCTATGATTGGCCAGCCTCAGGTTTCGGGCTGCCTATGATTGGCCAGCCTCAGGTTTCGGGCTGCCTATGATTGGCCAGCCTCAGGTTTCGGGCTGCCTATGATTGGCCAGCCTCAGGTTTAGGGCTGCCTATGATTGGCCAGCCTCAGGTTAAGGGCCAGGTGGGTATGTTTTTATACCTTGTTGGCATTAAGAACATCTTCATGTCTGTACTATTTATACAAGCCACACACAGTATCACCCATGAGCATGGCTGCAGTGAGCTGGCAGAAAAGTAACAGTAAAAGATTTGCTCTGAGTTTCTGACCGGTCTCTGCTAACCTATTCTTTTCTTACCAAGGCCACGCCTGCACAAATAATCCTGTATGACACTGGGCTCCCTCCTCCTTTTTCTTTGCATTCCTTGGTTCCGAGTGAGCAGGATGGCTTTTGCCATTTTTACAGCCATATTTTATCTCTCGCACATCTTTGTCACTGTTTGCACAGCCAATTTATAGTTTTATGTGGAATATGGATCAGAGCACTGTCAAAGGAGCCGTCCTTTGATAAAAGTGACGCAGGCTCCGAATCGAGCTAAAAGTCAACATGACCTGACAGGACGGATGTTGGGGCTGCTGAGCTTCTGGCCCCACGCTAAACCAGTCACTTCCCGGAGCGATTGATTGTTTCTTTTTAGTATAAAAATCCCGTAATGCCGTTTGCGCGGCGGCTCGGTGACCTGTACGGCCCGTCCTTTAGATTCCAGCAGCCGTGAGGATGTGACAGTGGGCTGAAGGTTGCCTGTTTGCCGCACGGCTGGCTCTGTGCTCATACTGGGCTGCGGAGCTGCCCTGCAGGGAGTTTCACTCCGTGCTGTTTATTTCTATCCTGTGGGAAGCTTCCCGTAACCCGGCGCTCTCGCTAACCTGAAGTGACACCATACAAAGGAGAGGGTATAGTTCATGGCGATGGTGAAAGGGGGTTTTCTTACAGATGATAACCAGTTTGGATGTTGGCCGGACGGGCGGTGCTGTGCACATCAAAGTGTGTCAGATAACAAAGTGTCTGTGTGATATGACTAGTGCGGGCCTTCGTAAGTGCCTGCCTGGCACAGAGAGACACCGGATACTTCGGAAAAGCACACGTCACCGCACCAACAAAGCCCGTGCGTGCGCAATGTGCTCAACGCCGCCGCTCTCTGACAAGGTCGTTAAACGTGAAAGCAGGCATTGTTCAGATCACGTATCACGCTGATTGAATATCTGGAACATGCCATGCATGGAATAAAGGCATGTTTATGGGGGAATTTTTGGGTTCCTGTGAAAGAGTCGAGCCTCTGCTTGCCCCATCCTCTTTTCTTGGACCCTTCTGATCCTAGCATTCCAGTGTTTCTCGCGCACTGTCGGGTTTGTAGGACACACAGTGTTGCTCGTCTGTTATCTTGGGCATCGCACCATGTCAGAAACTATAGATTAAGAATTGTTACGGTACAGGCCTGGATGGCAGCAATATGCATGCTCTGTACACACAGGGGTGAGGGTGAATTCTGACAGGGGGTACATGTGTATATATGCAAATACATATATTGCATATATGCTAACTTCTCCTTTAAATAGTTGAGAAGCCTCCTCAGCATTAATGTTCATCCATCCGTCCGTCCTTCCATCCTCTTCCTCTGTTTCAGGGTCATGGTGCCCCAGAGCCTATCCCAGGAAGTATACGGCTTGGGGCAGGAAGCCTCCTCAGCATTAATGTTCATCCATCCGTCCGTCCTTCCATCCTCTTCCTCTGCACAGGGTCATGGTGCCCCAGAGCCTATCCCAGGAAGTATACGGCTTGGGGCAGGATGCCTCCTCAGCATTAATGTTCATCCATCCGTCCATACGTCCGTCCTTCCATCCTCTTCCTCTGTTTCAGGGTCATGGTGCCCCAGAGCCTATCCCAGGAAGTATAC